ATTTTAAGGGGGTTGTTCTTTTTTTATTTTTCTTTGTTTCGGTTTTGAGATTTTTTGATATTATGAAAGATAAAAACCCTTAGAATCATTTCAAAAAAAAAATCATCTCAATATCTATTTTTTTGACGAAGTTATAGATATATATATCTCTATATGTATGATCCTCTGAAAGCGTTTTTTTATCGCTCCGCGAGCTATTGTATGCCAGCTTCCTCTTTTTCATTATAATACCTCATGCACATGACCTTTTTAATGTGTCAGCATCTTTGAACACCATGGTGTATTTAGTACATTAAATTAAATGGTGTATTCAGTACATTATATTAGAACTTTAAATACGTTTTTCTCAAAGACTTTTTTCAATGCGGTGCCACAAATTAAACAAAAACTACAAGTCGGATCGACTTGCATTTTTTTTAATTTGTTCACCACTGCAATACCGAGTCCCCCTACCTCAAACAACTTGATAACATTACGCAAAAAAAATTTGCGAAGCTTCTCGCCCCAAAAAAGGCCTTTTTTGACACTTTTTTTTTTAAATAGCTGCCATTTTTTTCTTCTTGCTTTTTTTCTTTTTTTTGGTAGGGGACTGGAAACAAACTTCTTCTTCAACGTAATTTCTTTTTTTTTTGTTTCGGGCGATGCACAACGGATTTATCTGTGGCACCGCAAAAGAGATCGATTTTTGCAAGACCGACTTTGGCGCCCCCTGGTTAAAAAATGACGGCGCAAAAAGAAAAGAAGAAAATCACGTAATATTCTATGATTTTGTAATTTTGTTTAAAAAAAACCGCATGTCTCTATGATAAATACATTTCGAGAAAAAACAAAAACAAATACTTCGCATTTTTTGTAACGAAAAAAGAACAACCCCCTTAAACAAGTATTATAAAAACAATAAACCCCATCAGTTTGTTCATATTTTATCAATACAATCAAACTGGAAGATTATATACTTTCTATAGAAAACATAGTAAATCCATTCGAGTCTTTTTTGGTCTTTCGACTTATTGATTACGTTTCAAGTTTTTCAGATTCTTTTTGGATTCTGGATTTTGGTATAATTGTAAATAATACTACTGAGCTTATACAAACTTTTTATATTTCTGCGAGGAGAGATAGAAAATGAATTTAATACTTATAAGTACTTCTTCTTTGACCTGCTTTTTGAAAACAATATTCAAGTCAAATAACATTCGATGAATTAAAGTAATTTAATACAAAGCATATATGTAGAGCAGGGCGAGGCACAAAGGTCCATTTGACTTTGAACAAATATAAACTATATTGCGAAAACCATAACAATTATATCGCAACAAATAACACATATCAAACGAACATGATTTTTTATATCTTTCAAACATTTGTAATCTAGACCTTTTTACCCTATAGGGGGGTAACTTGTAACGGGCAGGTGGCAAAAAGGTTTAAAGCCTTATTATAATTTTAAAGGTATTTTACAAAATAATTACATTTTTAACTAATGCTAAAAAACTACCAACGGAAGAAAATACTTTATTATGGATTTTCAAAGATTACCGTTCATCTCCCCATTTCAAAGATTACCGTTTTCAAACCAAGGTTATTAGCTGGTTTACATCTTTTTTCCTCTACTTTCAAATATTGTTGGTAAACAATGCTTAACTTTACTGATTTTGACACATCAGTGGTAGACCTTTTTAACCCGGATCTTCATATATTACTAACTATTCTTCGATAAATTCTGGAAAATTATAATTGGGAAAATGTTATTCGACAAAATGTCCATTTGATCGATACCAAATTTAGGTTCTGAATTTAATTAAAATAAATAAAAAATAATATAACCTAGAAAAAGTTTTATAAATATCAATGAGTATATAATTATACAAATGAGAGCACCATGTTTGAGGAAAATATGCCAAAAAGTGCATTTTCATATTAACATTTCAAAAAAAGTTGATATTTTGAGCCTCTAGTAACACTTGCGGCCCGTTTACTAATGTTTTTGTATATAAATAAAACTACAAACAAAACTACTTACTACAGTTTAATCATAATTAAATAATATTCAAGTAAAACATCATATTAAATGTAATTGAACATCATCTTTCAAAAATGTTTGACATTTCACGTATTAGCCACCGTCCGTTGTTTTATTTAAATTACGCCTCTACAAAAATTTTCAAAGTAAAAATGTAAAGTTTCTACGCGATTTTGAAACAATATCTCACCTTTCCGACCATCTCTGGATTGGCACGAATTTTTCAAGACTAAGACTGGCCAAATCGGTTTAGCCGTTTTCGAGTTTTACCGAATCATTTGATCGAGAGCTCCATTTTTATATATAAGATAACTGAAAACATTTTTGAAACTATGCAATTGTTTCTATATTATTTAAATAATCGCAGTATATGTATACGGTCCGCAATTTTAAATTTTATCAAAATTCTCTAATTTTATTTGCACAGAACGCGTGAAAGCTGTAAGATGGATTCAATTCTTAAGGAGAATTACTAGTCCTGAACTCAAAAGGTTGCGCAATCTATATTTGAAGCTCTTGCTCATGGTAATGCATACAGGGCGCATAACATGGCCATTCCTTGACGATCCTGAAATGCATGAAAAACTGGCAGATTTTCCAGAGAATATAAACGTAAGGTTCAATGTTAATAGTGTCAAATCATGATTTATATGCACGTTCAATATTATTCTAAACTAGTGGTATGTGGCATCGTGCCTTGAGGCAAATTGCTGGAACTTTCCGTACTAAAAATTATTTTTTTTAAAAAGGTTTTTTTTTTAACTTTGAAAAAATTAGATTTTTGAGAAATTTTAAATTTTTGAAAAAAAAAATGTTTTTTAATTTTAAAATAATTTGTTATTTTGAATTTTTTTTCAAAGCAATCGCACTGCTTTAGCTGCATAGAGACGAAATATTGATGCTGTAAGCGCCGCGTCGCCGTCTAACGGACATACGATTTTACGGAACCCACAAAAATGTTAATAAAATTGATACACATTATTAAAATCACCATAACATATCTGATAATCTGATGTGCATATGTCTAATGAATGATCATTTTTGACCGCCAAATGGCATTTTTAACTTCCCGTAGGGTAAGTTATAGTAATCGCAAAAAAATCGAAAATGAAAATTTTTATATATTATAAATGTTTTAAAGGTTTCTGAACATTTTGGCATACCTTAGAAAAATGGATGTATTTGTGTAAGTATTCGTGTATATATGTGTGTGTATGTGTATGCGCGGATACAAATTTTCGTCGATGATTTCGGGAACACAAGTCAACCGATTTGAATAATTAAAAAAAACATTCGATTCGTATTGATAAGGAGTCGTTCTGGATAGTTTTTAGTAAAGACAGGTCGAGTTTCAAAGATATGGCACAAAAAGTTCCAAAAATGGTAATTGATTTTTTAGAGAACGGAGCGTCTGATTTATAAGATTCAAAAAACATTTTACTTGTATTGACGAAATGAAGTATGGTAAAGTTTTTGGAAAAGCAGGTCTAGCGGTTTCGAAGATCCAATAAAAAAAAGTTAAAAAAATGCCATTTGGCGGCCAAAAATGATCATTAGACATATGTACATCAAATGATCACGTATTTTATAGATATTTTAATAATAATAACAAATTTTATTCACTTATCTATGGGATCCATACCAATGTTTATCTGTAATACTGCAACGCGGCGCCCACGCGCTTCGATATTTCGTTTCTACGAGATAACGTATCGCGATTGCTTTGAAAAAAAGTTTAAAATTTCCAAAATATTTCAAAACATAAAAAATCATATTTTTAA